TAGAACCTATTAAATTAGATAATGATAATTTACAAACTAGAACTGGTACCAAATATTAATCAAGTAACACATCTTCTATAGAATTACATAATTATATAGAGGCTTAGCAAAATTGAAATTACAAAGATTCTTAAATTCATAAGCCACAAAACTATTATGATAATTTTGAATTTTTGCCTCTTAATACTGATAAGTACTAGTATAGAGTACCATCTCAAATGAATACAAGATTTACTATTTCAGAGGTTCAATCAAATGTATCTGGTATTAATTTAGAGATTATTGAATCAGATGATGAGAATTTACAAGCTAGAACTAGTATAAACTATCAATCAAGCCACTCATCTATAAAATCACAAAGTTGATATAATTATATAAAGATTTAACAAAACCAAAATTACAAGACTTCTCAAATTAATACTAATAAGTACTAATATAAGGTACTATCTCAAGTAAATACAAGATTTACTATTTCAAAGATTCAATCAAATGAACCTGATATTGATCCTTTGCCTGAGCATCTTGATAGTTATAGTAGACATTCTTCTGATTAAAGTCACCATTTATATTCTGATGAATCTGAACCTTCAGAAAATAAACTCTTTTTTTCATTCAGTTAATATTATAATATGAATTCCTTTAAAAAGTCATCTCATCTGGCACCTTAATTAAATATGCAAAATACAAAGTATACCAACTCATATCCAACTATTCAATCAGGCTTAATAGCTTTATCTACAAAAAGTGGTTTCTTTTTTTAGGATAAAACTCATCTTGTACGATAGCTAAAAACATGTAGAGATGTAGTATTGCAAGCATTGAACTCTATACTTTTATTACTATCTGTTATATTAAGTCAGATTAGAAGCAACTTATCTGCCTAAATTATTTATATATCATATACAGTAGTAACTATATAATTTAAATAATAGATGTCTTCAACTGAATCACCAAATTTAGCAAAAGTACTTTCTAAGCAATCGAGAATTTTATTTCTTTGAACTCGAATACCAATGAAATGAACCTATACTTCACTAATTAAAAGCATTATTTCTAATATTGTTAACTTATATTCTAACTAAAATGGAGTTTCAAGTAAATTAAGACAAGTATTCAAAAAAACTTCTGTAGCACTTATAATGACGAAATTGCCAAATTGGCAAGTCAACTAATTAGAAAAAAAAGATAAATTATTGTAATTATTGTTATTATTTTTTTTTTTTACTTTAGCGATTCTACTTTTATTTTATAAATCGGTAGTAAAATACAAAAATGTCTTAGCTAGCTAAGCCTATATGTAAATTGCTAAATTACTATATGCCTGTACAAATAAAAATTCTCTTGATCTGTCTTATTATCATAATAAAAATAAAGTAAACCCTAAATTTATGCTAAAGTATGACCCAGGAGCGACCTGCCTAAGTGAACAATTTCTCTCTTTCTGAGATCTTTAATTTTCTGAGGATATAAACCCAGCTATCAACAGATAGCCTTCACCGATCTTGTCAGAATCACCACTCTACAATAGAGTATCGCCAATTTGATAACACTTTTTCATAGAGAAGTAAAAAAGAAAAAAAAGAGATAAGAGTAAAACAAAAATGTAGAAAGTAAAAAAACAAAGAAAAATATAAAAAAAATGACTAAAATACAAAGGAGTTTAATTGACTATCCTAAATCTAAAAGAGCTTGTCTACAGATATAAAAACCTGCTAATCAGATAAAAAAAACTATCTACATAGTCATAAAAATCTATATATAGAGCTATTTGACAAAAGAAACTAAAAACAAAGTGCACTTTAACCTGTACTAAGGACTAAAAATTATATGCATATGACTTCAGAATATTGCATATCTCAACTATATTACTCTAACTTGCAACTCTCATTTAAATCTATCTTGAATCCTAAAATGCTGATTTTAAAGCCTTGACACGTGATCGTTAGTTCTATTTATCCAGACCACTTTTTTCTAAATCTTCTTATAGTCTTTACTTTAAATCTTGCTTTTTCGCTATACGAGATTAAACAGGAGATTTTCTCTATGGTTAACTGGTATCATTAGAAGCTACTTCCTCAGGTCCATCACATAGGGTATTCATTTCTGTATAGTTAAAGCAGATTCAAACACAGGACTTCTGTTGTACTTCGATTTAACCTAAACAGAACTTTCTCCTTATATATAATTGTTGTGTTCCTTATTTATACTATCATAACTTGAGACTTTCAAAAATAGAAATATAAACAATGCTGATCTTTTGGAGGGGGTAGCCAAATCTTCCACTTTTTGTCAAAAATTATGAAAAAAAGAAAGCAGTAGAGAAAAGTGTAGTTTTGTGAATTTTCTAACCAAGGAATATTATTTCAAGAGTTCTTTATAGTCTTCTGTTCTCACAATAACTTAGGTCTTCTTTCTACTTACTGTTTCTAGAAACTCCTCCAGTTTGGATACCAAACACAAAAAAGAGTCTACTCAAGAGAAGAAGAGGCTTGACCCCTTTGCAAACTATCTAAAACATTCGCTTCTTAGCGTATTATATTTAAGATTTCATTAACAACAGTTCATATCAAGAAAACTTTAAGTTATTTGTTCACTTCTGGTCTTGAGTCTTCAACTTGCTTTCAGAGACTAGTTGGTACAAATAATCATCAGAGAGAGTTGAATCGATTCGATTATTATTATTATTTAATATTTATAATAATAATAAATATACAATAATTGTTAAACTAAACAGATATTCTATAGAATAAGTAGCCAAACTCTGCAAACTCTGCAACTTTGCTATTAAAAAATTAATGATTACTAATTATTAACAAAGCTTATTTCTTATATTGCCCACCTATTCTATAGAATATCCAACTAAACTCTAGTGACCCTTCTAACTGTAATATTGAAAGATTTGTAGCAGGATCTGTATGGGAAAAGCCACTTAAAAAGCATATTGATATACTTGATTTCAATATTTTCAAAAACCAGCATTCAGGTGTAAAAACATTAATGACCTTTGTCGCTAAAAGCCTCAAAATATATGTAGAATATTTGGCATCAGAGTTTAGAGAAGAAAATCTAGATTATACTTCCATGATTTTAAATTGTGTTAAAGAATTAGATTATATTACAATTAATATTATGTTTTTAGCTGCAATTCATTTTCAGTAACTAATCAATTAAAACTTAAAAAAGAACAAGAAAAGTAAGAAAAAAAACAATTCTAATATAGTGCATACAAGCTATACAGAAAATGAAGAAATGTGAATTAGAGAAGAAAGAAGTAGAATTTTTAGGATACATAATTTCAAACGAAGGGGTAAAGAT